CTGGGTGGCTCAGTTGGTTAAGCCTCGGACTTCAGCTCAGGTCATTACCTTGTGGTTCGTGAGTTCAAGCCCCGCGTCGGGTTCTGTGCTGACAGCTCAGAGCCTGGAGCCTGCTTCGGATTCTGTCCCTCTCCCTCTGCCCCACCCCTGCTCACACTCTGTCTCTCTCAAAAATAAATAAACATTAAAAAAAATTAAAACCAAAAAGGAAGTAGGATCTGATGGAACTCTATTCATGGGATACTCCCTCACCACTGTTGAATCTGTGTTAACAGGAGCTGTCGTGGAGCACCCTAAAATTTGACAGGCACTGTTAAGATCTCGTTTTATACACTTGCCAAGATAGTCACACAAACTCTTTACTCCTTGCAGTCAGCTCTTGAAAGGGATTGCCTCCCCATCACCCTCTCCCCCACCAATTTGGTATCATTTCCTTAGAAATGTGCCTAACGCTTCCCTGAATTGCAAGATTCACCTATAGAAAATGGCACGCGTTTTTCTATTTGGTGAAAAATCGACGCCTCCGATGGCACCAAAATATAATGATGGGATGCATGTAGTGTAATGTGGACTAAGAATCGGAAAAAGTATTTCTAAACTCTCATCAGCCATCTATTTCCAATATTTTATAAAATCCAGTGTAAGTGAGGAATTAACCTGTTGAAGTTCACTAACAGCATTTGACTTACCCTCAAAGAAAATCCTTAAAATACCGAACACAAGTTTATGTTATATATTTGTACATAGCTCCCTGAGACTTTTCAATCATAAGCCTATCTGTTTACCTACTTCCTGGCCCTTCCCCCCAAATAAGTTACCAGTCTAAATTTAATACCTTAATCTCTTCCTCCCTTAATCTTCAGTAGAAAAGAAGAGGAAAAGGAATTTAAAATGTATCCGAAATTAAGGCGTAAAATGATTCCTTTCCTTCTTCACTTGCCAACAACAAAAAGCCAGAAGAAATAGTGATGCAGTTCGTAAACTTTTTTGAACCACAGATCCCTTTGGTATTCTGTTGAAAGCTGTACATTCTCTCCCCAGAAAAATGCATGTACACATACACATAGAAAGATACTATGTATAATGTCAGTTTTAAATGTTCTCTGAAGCCCTAGTTAAGAACCTTTAAGAATAGCTGAAAAGTTTCTTGCATATTTCAGCAATGTTCATCGTCCCAGGCTGTGAGGTTTAAACCAGTGGTCAGTAATACCTAATCGATGTATGAACCTGCCAATGATATGTTTTCATTATCTTCTGTAAGGAAACTGGGACATAGGACTTTCTAATTGCCTTCCTTCATTCTTGACAAGTTTGACAGATTTATCTCCTATAAGTATGTAAATAAGTTACCACGTGTACATAGTAACTTACTCAAATAAGACAAACATTTTGCTTCATCTCTTAACTATATATTACAATCATAAGATCTTAGATTTGATCGAAGCCATTGTATTAAACTACAGTGCTCATATACACAGTCCATTTTCCGCATATATGTATAGCATTTATAGTTGAATAAGGCCTTCAACTTTAATACTTTCTTTTAAATATACTGATTTTATTTTCCCCAGCTTTATGGAAAAGAAAGCTTGTATACTAAGAAAATATAGCAAACAATTTTTTAAAACTTGTATAATAGAAAATATAACAATTTTCTAAATAACCGGCTCAAAATAAAGTCTTCAGCATATTAGAAAAATATTATGGTAATATTTACAAAAGTGTTATTGTGAAATAGAGACAGCTGCGTATGTGTTATACAGATAGATGATCTAAAAAGAAATATAATAATCACATTGTTAAGTATTAGTAGATTCACATTATATCACATTCCTGCTTAAATGGGAAAACAAGTTTATACTATTATGGACATAGTATATACATTTTTCTACTCAATTAACCTACAAATAAATAAAATTTTCCTTGATTCTAAAGTTATCACTTTACATGACCACATCTGTTTAAAACATTAGATCTCATTCTGGTTTTCTACTGCCGCTGACAGTAGGTATTTCATGGTCAGTCTCTTTTTTAGGATCTATCATGTCTTTGTATCTCTCCCCACGATGTCGTTCCAGGTACGGACCCCAGTTAGAAGCTGGTCTACAACAGCTTACGATGCGCTGAAAAGAAAAAAAAAAAAAAAGCATGTTTTAGACCATATCAAATATCAAACCGTATTTCCTTTGCAGAATATTAAGTTTCCTCGCTAAGCAAAATGACCTAGGAACCACAGAAAAGTCAAAAGTGATCATCAAAATTCTTAATATAGTGTGCTAAAAAAAATGATACTCAAAGTTAACTAGTTAATAGAATTACATTGACTACAAGACAAAAATAACCGAGCCTACAAATGATTTTAAGAGGAAGTGTATGAGCCCATTACTCCACGTCTTTTCACTGAATTCTCCGACATTGCTGTCCTTCCCTGAGAGTGAGAGTCAGGTGAGGATTTAATCCAGTGTGTGCCTGCGAGGTTTCGAGGTTTCGAGAACCAAAGAAAGAGAACCCTGGGGTCAAACCATTGATCTGGATGGGCTTGGGAAATTATTTAAAACCTGACTCCTGACGTTTGTCCCAGTCATTGTCCTAGTGAGATGTCATAATCAACTCCATCCCCCTGGGCCTCCATGCAAGAGGGATCACTCAGGGTCTAGATGGGGTGCGAGATCATTTACCAGGCTTTTTCAAGTCTGCACACGCTATTAGGACATGCGTTATAACCGGACAATGCTTTTAAAGTGAAGATCGTAGATCTAAAGCAAAAAGGTCATTTGCCTTGTGTCCTCTTCAGGGACAACTCAGCACAAGTATAAATGGCATAACTTGTACGTGCCGAACACTCTTAATAGGGCCTGAGGATACAGCAGCAAGCAACATAGGACTCCTCCCTAAAGGAGCTTATAATCTAGTACAAGACACACAGATATATAAATATAAAGCAATGTTATGTACACAGTAGTCAGATGATTGTATCAGGCGTAGAAGTAGCCTAAAGGCTCATAATCCCCTCTTACCACCGTATGAGTAATCTTCATGCGGATCATAAGTACTCTATTTAAAGAATAAATAATATAAATGTGCTTACTTGGAAGATAGTTCCTTCAGCTTGAATTATTTTTACGACGGCCATAATTGGAATCCAAATAATGCAGAAAATAATCATACACCAGCCTAGAGCAACTCCCCAGTCAGGGTACGGAATTTTGGCATAATTAGGCCTATGAAATTTCACCAATGACCAGATCAAAATTGCCTGTGAAAATAAAGTATGAACAAACAATGCTAAAGATTAGACTTTATTGCACTAGTGATTTCTGTTGCACCAACTGTGAGGCATTTGATCCCCTTCCTTGGAAATAATCCATCAAAAGCAATTACAATGAAGATACACTCAAGCGACTAAAATAACCCAGTAACCAGCCAGAAGATAATTCTAGATGATAATTATCTAGAATTATCTAGAATTATCTAGAAGATAATTCTAAGATGAACCAATCTAAGTAACTTGCATTTGACTTTGAATAGATTCTTCCAAAACGAGCACCTCCATATCTGCAAAAGGTGCAAATAAATACTTGTGCCACATGTGTTTCAATTCTCAGGAAATATATCAGGCTGAAAGTAAAATAATACCTGAAAATTTCTGTCCTTGACCTTTTAACTTTAATTTATAATAGTATGGTTTTATTCTGTGCCATAAGCTAGCCAGCGTATAGGAGAATGTAAAGTACCCTTTAGTGAACAGGCTTTGCTCCCTTGCTTAGCAATTGTTTCTATTATCTCCCACTGCACAGGGCAGTCCTTACGCCACACCTGAAACACACACGCATTCACACACATTTGGTACATATTTACCAAAGCACACGTCACCTCCAGCCTCTCTGGCAGAGAAAAACAAGCTCAATGTATGTATGGGCAAAGCAGTGAAATCGGAATCTTAACAGTGAAAAGACTGAAGTTGAGGTCAAGTTAAAAAAAAAAAACCTTTGGGGCGCCTGGGTGGCGCAGTCGGTTAAGCGTCCGACTTCAGCCACGTCACGATCTCGCGGTCTGTGAGTTCGAGCCCCGCGTCAGGCTCTGGGCTGATGGCTCGGAGCCTGGAGCCTGTTTCCGATTCTGTGTCTCCCTCTCTCTCTGCCCCTCCCCCGTTCATGCTCTGTCTCTCTCTGTCCCAAAAATAAATAAACGTTGAAAAATAAAAAAAAAATCTTTAAAAAAATCTAGACATGTTGCCACATTAAATCTAACTCTTTAGAAATCTGTAAAGCAAACAAAACTAAATAAACAAAAGCCAGAGTCACCTCCTAGTTTCTCTAGATTTAGCTGTCTTTGTTTTACTAAAACCAGTGGAGAAATAGAATGTAAGAATCTTTATCAAATAGCTATTCAAGTTTAATATTAAAATTAAATAGGTTAATTCCATTCATTTAAGTAATTTAAATGTATTTCCCAATTGCCATAATTTTTTACATAACTACAAGAGAATGGATGAGGGATCCGGGAGAGTATCCATGACCTCACATGACTTTATACAAAATAGATGGTAATGTATAACCCTTAATATTTAATACTTTTGCATTTGAAATTAAATCCCATTGTCAAAGCTGTGTAATCGATGAAAACTAGCTGGCTAAAAAGTATAGTGAGGTCTTCTAAATTGATAAAGGGCTTATTTGATTATGGAGACTTGTCAAATGAGGAAAACAATATTTAGTAGCACAGTCAAAATCGTTTAGCTAGAATATGGGGCGTCTGAAATATTTTGATTGAGTACATCCAGTCCCAAACTGCTTGCTACTTGAAACTGACCTTATGAAATGTAAATAAATAAGTAAATAAATAAATCTTAACACCCTCTAAAACAAACATAATATTTCAGATGTGAAGCAAATTCTGGATCAAATTATTTAATGCATGAAGACAGTGAGAACCAACAGATGTCCCCTTATGAATTTTTGCCACCTCCCCATCTCTACCAAGACAGTAATCCTCCATCCTGTGAAATGTTTTTGTCAATCAGTCATTTACTGCGCTGAACTGTTCTTTAAAGGTTTCCTGTTTATATGCCGTGTCTGTCCAGTAAGATCTCTTTTGCTTTCCCTCGGTTCTTAAATAGTACCCATTGTTGAATTTAACATGAACCATTGCCTCTGTTGACAGCGGTGAGTTTCTTTTAGCCATTTCAGATCGTAAATACCTTCCCATACAGAGAAAAATTATGCATTAAAATCTGAGTGTTGCTTCTTAGCAATTTGTATATTTAGATCGCATTCCTTGAAGACAAGAGCCTGCGTCTTAGCAGAGAGGTTAGGAACATTGTAGATGACTCGGCGTATTTTTAGGGAACGGGCAAATGAACCATTTCTACTTATTCTATTGAGAATTTTTAAATATGTAAGATCTGTAAGCCTATAGGAGCCTGTTCTTTTTCTCAAATGGTAAATGTTTAAACCTATAGCCTCAAAAGCAATATTGCAAAGGCGTTTTAATTTAGGCCACTTGCAGGTGCCAGTCATAAAGCAAAAGTTGGAAGCCATTAATTTATGACATTAGTTTGCTTTATTGTCTCCGATATGAATTATTCTTCAAGTTTATATTAGAAATGTTATATATATATATATAACATTTATATATAATAATATATATATTATTGATACCAAATTCATGGCATATTAATACTTACAATCAGAAGAAGAGGTGTAATGACAAACCAGCAAGCTCTCCACCAAAGCCAGAATATCCACTTTTTTGCTCCAATCATCATTTCTATATCTTCAATGAATCTGTTCCCACCTTAAAAAAAAAAAAAGTACGTTCAGCCCTTGCTCACATTTTCTTCCTTTAATCATCGTGGCCCCGAATTATCTTTCTATCTAAACATTTTCCTATACCGCAGCAATGGAGTATACGCTTTTAACTACAGTAGCTTCATTATCAATTTTCCCAGTTATATTATACTCTACTATTACGGTAAACCTAATGAAAAGGAACCAAACTAAATTACTGTAATGAAATGTGTAGGTAATTCTGTAGTTACTGTTTACCGTAAATCCAGATGATTCCTATTATTTCCAGTATAGCCGCAATCAAAATGCCCCATCCAGCACAGAAGTGGTCAATCAGATGAACCCAGTAAATTCCAGCCTACAAAAAGAATACCAAATCACCTCTAAGTATATTTTAATTATTTTTATGACTGACGAAGTCTTTAAAGTGAATCTATTCATTTGATTTTCACAAATGCTCCTTGGTTTCACCTGTGCTAAGATGTGAAACAAGAACATTTTCAAATGTAGAGACCAAATGTGGCTTTAAATATCTCAAAAGGGATATGTGACTTCATTGTAATTGGGGAAGTTGTCCATTATTGGGTCTCCTCCCCTCTTCAAAATAGACTGCCCATTGAAATTGTGCTATAATGGGGAAAAAAAACTGGGCTAAAACTCAGAAACCCTTGATCCAAGGCAGACTTAGACTTGTCACGGAACATCCTCTTAAACCTTTGTTTCCTCATGTAGATTATGAAGTACATTCCAACGAATGATTTGTCTGTGTAAAAATACTATAGTATACCTGAGTCACACAGACGAGACCAAGGAGAAACAGCACCAAGCAGCAACCCAAAGTTATAGGAACCCTCATTTTCTTCATCACTTTGGGAAATAAATCTTGGATCGTTGTTGTAATCGTTTCTTCAGAAGGGGAGAAAAATGGCGGGTTAATGTCAACTCACTTGCCGATAGTTTTAATCCAAGAATTCCACTTCTATTAATCACATTTACAAATATATGAAGAGAATATACTCTGGGTCCTACTCCCGGCTTTTAAAAATCCATAGTGTCCTTTCTCTTTGCAGTCACCACTTGTTGGTTCTGATAAAAAACCGAGCGCGGCCCTCTTCATTTGTTGGTTCTAGTCTGTTTTTTAAGGTTTTTCGTTGGTGGTAACTACAAGGTAACAGATCTCTGGGGCTGAAGTAGTTTGCAAGAGGGTTATGGGGAAGGAAGAATTCTAGAACTTTTAAATAAGGTGAATATTTGAATAAATACCATGGAGACAGAAAGGCCTTCCAGGTTTAAGAAATAAACGGGTTCGTGAAACAATCCTGGCTAAAAATAGAAGGTTGTATGACCGAAAGGATTAAGATGCAGGTTTAAAATGTTCAAGGGCTTTGAAAGTCAACTAGAGAAAGCCAGACTTTATACTGTACAGAGTTAAGTATTAAAATATTTTATGTAAGAGTGATACGATGAAGAATGTTCCAGAATTTCTAGCTGTGTACCCTAGGGAAAATCCCCATGTGTACGCAGAGCCATGTGCCAGAGTAATCACTGCAGTAGCGTGCGTGAGTTTTAAAAGTGGAAATAATCCAAATGGCCATCATTATGGGGACAGATTGTGAATTAACTAGATCTACATGAGCACGTGTCAACAAAGGTTCACAATACATGTAAAAAAAAACAACCGTCAGGGTGACATGTATGCTATGAGACTTCACGTTTATGTGACAAAATTTTATCTAGGTGTTATTTATGGATACATATGTAGCGTCTACAAACATGGACTGAGTGCCACACATAATCCGTGGTGACAGTTGCTGCTAGGAAGGAAGAAATGTGAATCGTATTCGGGACAGAAACACAGGGAGCTTCAATTTCATTTCTGAAGCAAATATAAAGTATTAAACGCCTGTTCCTTTCGGGTGTCTACGGCGTGAGTACTTTGTATTTTTCTGTATTTAAAATCAAGTTAAAAAGAATTTGCAGGCTCTAAGAGTAAAAGCTGACGAGGACAACAAGGATAGGAAAAGGATATTTTCAAGCAGGGGAAACATGAGTAAAATATAAGAGGGATATGTTAACCCTGGAAGGATTACTTACCAATGGATGCAAACTGAGAGTCGAGACCCAAAGTCAAAAGCATGAAGAAAAATAATATGGACCAAAATGGCCCACCTGGGAGTTGGGCTAGAGCTTCTGGATAGGCAATGAACGCCAGATCAAAACCTAAGAAAAATGTATGACACGGAATTTAAATTAGTTGCCAAAGAGTTCACATATTTGGACAGTTTCAACATAAGATACTAGAAAACTTTCGTTTTAATTTGGCAACCCGATCCATGGTATACATTCTTGAGCAACTATTTCATTTCCACTTTTAAAAATATTTGACTTGGTTGTTCAGTCAATGCGATAACGCGAGCACGTGACAAGAATTACGCTAGTGAGAAAAATTTTCTAAGTGGCACATGTCTCACATAAGAAATCTTAACTATTTCAACGATTTTGTTTAACCAAATTTCATGTTTTTAAAGATTTGTGAAGAATAACGACGGTCTTACACTCCAGGAATCTAAAGGAAGTCGCCTTAGCCTACAAAGTCTGAAAGAATTACGCTATCGAGAAAGATATGTTTATGGAACTACCTTTCTAGTCTTCGGCCGTCTCTCCAAATGTTCACCTGGAATCACTATTTGTAGCGGCATTTTAATTAGTATACGGACACTTGCAAGATTGTATGTAACTAAACTAGAAACTGACTCTTATTTCATATTTGATGTATATTAATTTTAGAGGTGCTTTTGAATTTTTTCCAAGTAGGTGGTACTTAGTTTTAAGTATGTTGAGTTTCTCCAGACTCCCAGAGGACTGGCCTTGCATTCAGGAGAATTAGCTGCGAGCCTGTACTGTGTCACTATCCGTCCCTCCTCTGGAAGTGAGGAGCTGGACATTGGATTATCCATAAGGTCCCTTCTAGTCCTAACATTCTATTCTCCTGCATTGGTCTCTCCATCAAATGCTAGCCATAAATAAAAATTTAAGGAGGAATTCCTACTACTAAGGACCCTAGAATTCTTTTCCTGAGAATCTCAGCCAGATAATTAAGCATCCCTAGCTAATGGCTTTAAAGTTAGGAAGTTCATTAATCAGGTTCCTTTAAAGCTGGACACTCAAAGTCACTTGGGTTTCTATCTATACGAGATCTGATGTGTCTTAAAAGTTCAGACACAATACTGTACTTGCACTCATACAGTCATATATATATGAACACACACACGTATATATACACACACATACATGAAGATAACGCAGGTAAAGGCACGCATGATGCCTGATACTTGTGATTGTACAATAAGTAGTTCATGTTAAGGACTAAACAGAATTCAATAAAAATATCTTCTTAAACAATTGTTCCCTAATATAGTCCTGTTTTCCGAGATCATCCGAGAAGTACCACATCATTAAAACAATCAAATTACCTAAGATGAAATGAGCAAGAAAATGCAACGCCCTTAATCCTGCTTGAGTGCTTTCAGTAAATTGCTATAAAATGTATTAGTGTTTCCTAAATGAGCTGCACTGAATTAATCAAAGTTATTAATATATAGCGTTACATACCTGATTTTACAACTTGAGAGACCTCCTTTCCCGATATATGAGCCATGTGTCCCAATATAGAAAAAATAGCAAATCCGGCGAACACGCTCGTGAGGCAATTTGTCAAACAAACTACAATAGCATCTGAGAAGCAGTTGTTATTGAACTTATTGTAAGATGATAGAGCAACTAAGCCGCCCCAAGCCACCGAAAGGGAGTAAAATATTTGAGTGGCCGCGTCTTTCCAAACCTATAAGAAAAAGCAATTTAGTATTTCAAAACATGCACTTTAAATGTTATACTTCTGTAAAATATGTTTATATATACAAATGAGTGAATATGAGTAGTAAGGAAGTAAACGCCACCTACCCACTGCTCAGCTTAAAAAGGAAAAAGTTACCAGTGTTCGAAAGCCTCCAAGCACCCTTTTCTGACATCACCCTTCAACTTCCAGTGGTAACTGCTATCCTGACTTGTGTGTGTATGACTTCCTTGTTCTCCTTTATGTTTTTTAACTAGATAAATGTGTCTATCCAAACAACACGGCATTTAGCGGAGTTTACAGAAAAGTTTTCTTAATGCCTTGGAAACTTGCACAACTTGCCTTTTTTCATTCAGTGTTGTATGAGATTTCTCCATTATCAATTTGAACCAAATGCAATTTCAATTTTGTGAGTCAAAACTGAAAATATATTGACAGATTCATAAGGTTTAGTTAAAGGTACATGGTTTTGAACACTTGTAAACATATTTTTAATGTTTATTTTTGAGAGAGAGAGAGAGAGAGAGAGAGACAGAGTGCAAGCGGGGGAGGGGCAGAGAGAGAGGGAGACACCGAATCCGAAGCAGGCTCCAGGCTCTGAGCTGTCAGGACAGAGCCCGACGTGGGGCTCGAACTCACAGACTGTGAGATCATGACCTGAGCTGAAGTCGGACGCTTAACCGACTGAGCCACCCAGGCGCCCCTGTTCATGAATCTATTTCTGAGACTACTGTCCCAACTGGTCAGAAAGAATGTGACCAGAAACTATGGAACAGCACGTTGTTTCAATTCCTATAGCGTTATGATATTGTTTCATATCTGGTAGAACAGGTGTTCTTTACTTCTTCAAAAACACCTTTCTTCTTTTGCCTTTTTCTCCTTCACATACGCTTTACTATCGGCTTTCCAGGTCTAAGGAAGACCGTGCTGCAATCCTGATGAAAATTCTACTGACTCTACACATCAATTTGGGGACAACAGAAACATATCAATTCTTAACAAGGCATCCCTTAGATCACCAATTCCCTTATCCTGTGTTTGTTTGATTAGAGCCTCATGTAGCCGGCCTCAAGTCTTTAACAGCCTCCCCCTCACGTCATCTAATCCTACCCCTTTACCAATCTGCCTTTCACAGTGTACCCCTCCTAGATCATTGCTAAAGGACAATAATTAATCATAGAAGTGAATTGAAGTGAATCCATTTTAACAGTGAAGTTCTGTAGATCTAACACGACCCAAAGGAAAAAAAAAAAAACCCTAATTGTGTAGATTTCAAATAATAAGACCGGCCAAGATTTGGGCAAAAGCGGGGGTTTTTTTAGTCCATCTAAACACAGGACTGCTCAGTGAAAGGCAGGCACTAGAATATGGTGACAAAGAGCATAGCCCTGTAGTCGCGAAGAATGAAGTTTACATCCAATATCTCTCACTGTCCTTGACTTCACTTTATATAATGTTTTTTTTTTAATTTTTTTAACGTTTATTTATTATTGAGAGACA